GGAGCTTGCTTACAGGGATCTAGCTGCAGGGTGGGACTTAGCCTGAATAAGGATGCTGCAGAGGCATTCTGGGAAAGATCCAGAAAATCATGTGTGATATGGAGCCGATATACAGAAATGGATGGGTTATGATCTCGTTAGTATAAGTACATTTAGGTTGTAGAGTCCATGTTTACAGCAGGCAGAAGTTTGTCATGGAATAGAGAGCAGACTATGAAACTCCTAGTCAAAAGACACTGAGTGCAAGAAGTCCGCGTGTGCTGAAGGGGGAATGGAGCAGGTACTTGGGAAAGACATCCCCCCTACTAAATAGACAACCACACCTGGCTGAGGAGGTCTACAGAAAATAGTTAAGCCTGGAAAATTTTAGAAGAAGGTTATTCTATATGCTTGTGTTATATTTACTGTTATATTTACTGTTCCCTGGATTTCAACTTACGGCCTCTGGTCATTAGAGAGTAGTGGGCTAGATGGACATTCTTATGTTCTCTTTTATTGTATATAATTTAATTATATTTAAAATTTTAAATATTGTCGTCAATCTAATTAATATGCTGAAGAGAATAGTCCTCTGAGGATGCAGGTCCAGGAGCTGGGGAGAATGCCTCAGAAAATGCTGAAACGAAACCCTCTCTAGGTTTTTGCACTGAGGCATAACAATAGGGGAAAATGGAGTTTCTTGACTTTAGGACTTCCTCTTTTCTGTTCCTTACCTATCTGAAAATTAACTGAGTGGTGTTTCTATTTCTTTTGTTGCCTCTGCACTACATCAGTATGCAGAGAAGTGCACAGAGAGGTGTGTTGCCACTGATCATAGGCAAGAAGTACAAATACTACTTGTTCTGGTGCAAAATTATCTCTTGCTGCTTTTCATAAAAACCTGTCCCAGATGCCTCTCACTTCTGCTGCTAATGCTTTTTCACAGAAGTAGCAGAATGATATTCCAACAAATAAATAAGAACAATAAAAGCTCTGAAATGAATCATCCATATTAGTTTCTTTGGTTTGGGGAAGCTTAGTACAGGAAAGCTGAAAGTTGTTTCCGTGTACTCAAAAAGACAAGAACAGTAGCTCAGTTAAAGCTGGAAAACCTGCTATGCAACCATTATTTCCTAGGTCTTTCTCCTTGTGCTATAGAGAAAAAAAGCCTTTATATTTTCTAATAAGGGTACTTTGTTGGATGTTTCCTTGTCAATCTGATATATATTCTCCAAGGTCTGATGCGCTGTTATTTTTATCTTCTTCTTTCCAGTCTCTATTTGCAGCATATATTCTTTTAAAAGTTCTCTTTTTATGTGAAATGTAAAACCAAGATAGCTGAAAATGAGCTGTTTATTTATTAATTTGTTGTTAATATTTGTTGTGCCGTATTGAGGTTATACTCAGAAGATAAGGAGGAACAGATGTTACCAGCTCCAGGCTTGACTGCTGTGTAAGAAATTGATTGGCTGGGCAGCC